CGGCAGCTGTGTAGGCTTCAATCTCATGATTGTCGGATGTGTCTTGGTCCGAGTGGACCTCAACCTCACCAGCAGGTTGACTACTGTTACCCGGCTGTACCGGTTCTGAAGTCATCTAGAAAGTACTCTCCCCACAGACGGCGCCAGATGTTTGGGGGTTTTTTTATGTGTCCTACGGGAGAGTTACAATTTCCTAGAATGCTCCTTCCTTCGCCTGTACCTGCACAAATAACGGAATACTCCGGCTGGGGCTGGGGTGTTCCGCCTCCGAAGATTAAGTTAGTCTCTTTCTAAAGGTGGAAATAAGACAATAAATGCTTCTCGATTTGAGAGCGTTTTGCAAGGGGATTTGTGTTTTGTTGGTTTTTGGGAAAATGATTCGATCCCCATAAATGAGGTCTGCCCTTACTATTTATAGTAGGGGAGAGCTGTACCTCAATTAGGGTACAAAGACACGTGTCGCAAAGGGATTGTGCCTTTGCTGACCGTTGCAAACTTGACACGTGGCAGGTTTTTATTGGGCCACGTGTCTTAGGGTATTTTTACCCTAAACACCAGTTTTGTTAGTATGAACCATGTCATACACATAGATGAGAAATGGTTCTATCTCAATCCTGACAAGAGAAGATTTTATCTTCTGTCAGGTGAGGAAGACCCATATATGGCATAACAGTAAAAAAGATTCAAGTTAAAGGCTTTGTTTATGGCTATAATTGGGAAGTCATTATATGACACGGATGGGGGACTCATACATGATGGGGAGTATGGGATATTCTAATTCACTGTGAAAGAGGTAGCAAAGAAATCAAGCAAAAACAGAGCAGCAGGCACTTTGGTCACCAAGGCACTGCAGAATGTGAATAGAGATGATATTAGGGAGATGCTGTTGACAAAAGTCATTCCAGCAATTCAGTCAAAATGGCAAGAAACTCTGCCCAAAAATGTTATCATATAAATGGACAATGCAAGGCCTCACCAAGTTCCTCAAGATGAAGAGTTCATGGCAGCAACCACAACAAATGGGTTTAATATTGAACTCGTATTCCAACCAGCACAGTCATCTGATCTAAATGTGTTGGATCTAGGCTTATTTAGGTCAATGCAGTCATTGCAATATCAATCTTTCCCTAAGGACCTAGATGAGCTAGTTGATAAGGTTATTGAATGTTATAACACATTCAAGCCCCAAGTGAACAAGTACATTTGAGTGACCTTACAAAGATGCATGATCAAAATTCTCAAGGCACAAAGGGGGAAACAAGTAATAAATACCACACATGAACAAGAAGAAACTTGAAAATTTAGGAATTCTACCAGATCAAGTGACAATGAGGAAGGAAGTTGTGTTGGATGCTGTGGAATACCTAGACACCATGTTTAGGCCAGCCGGTCAAGGGACTCAAGGTGCAGCAGAAGACATTGAGGTAGATGCAGATTAGGGGAATCATCAAACCACATACAAGGAAGGTGAACTACATTGACTGCCACACATAACCACTTATTTAGATGTTTTTTGTGTTTTGTTTCTTTCTTTAAGCTTTTATGTGCATGAATAGGTGGTTCGATGTCTTTTGTTTATTATGATGAAGCAACCATGTAAGGCAGTCAAATGTATGTTCTAGTTTACCCCCCTTTTAAATGGAATGATAATGAAATTGTTTTATTATGTGTGGCCAAGTAATCCATCAGTAGAGCTAATCACATTGTTGAATACACACTAGTAGAAAAAATGAAATAGGAACCCCCCCTTTAGCACTGGTTCTTGAAAACCGGTGCCAAAAGAAATGGGCGGGATTGAAAAATTCGGAGTTGGCACCGGTTCCAACCAAAACCGGTGCCAATCATTTAATTAGCACCGGTTCAAACCGGTGCCAACTTATTATAAAAAAAAAAATAAGTATGACATAGAGTTGGCACCGATTCGCCTTAAACCGGTGCCAACTATGTTAATTAGCACCGGTTCAAACTGGTGCCATATTTGAGAAAAAAAAAAACCCGGGTTAGGTTATTGCGTCTTTCGTTTTCAATCCCTTTTCCTTTCTCCTTCTACCTTTCCCCATTTCCCTCTTGACTCCACTACTTCCACCACTACGCACCCCTTTCCACCGCCACCACACTCTATCTTCATTCTTCACGGCATCAAGGCAATGTGACGGTGGTCGCGATTGGTTGTTGGATTTTTAGAGTTCCAGGTGGCAATTTGGTTGAGTTTTTGTTATTTTAGTTTTGAAATTAGGGCTTTGGTTGATTGTGGTTAGATGGATTTTTGGTTGTTTTTAGATGGATTTGTTGTGGGATGCAATTCGTTGGTATTTTTGTTGTGGTTTTGAATACTTGATTGGTTGAACTCTTCACTCTGGTCTACGCCTCCTCCGCCCATCGTCCGCCCTCCGTCGCCGGTTCGACCTCCATCGCCACCTCCTCCGCCGCCGGACTCCAATGGCACTTCCACTTCCTCTACTTCTCCTTCTCCTTCTCCTTCTCCTATCCCCGAGGAGATCTCTCGCCATGCTCAGCTCTCACTCGAGGTTCCTCTCTCTCTTCTTTCTTTTTCAATTCAATTCATCACCAACAACTCCTAACCTAACCTAATTTGTTGAATTTGTAAAGCTGTCGAAGAAGATCATCAACATCAGATAAATCAGGAGGTTAGCATCCATGGGTCTTCCTGATGCTCCTGCCATCCGCTCTACTGTCTGGAAGGTTTCTGTCTCGCTTTCTATTCATTTCATACTTTGAGTTGATTACTTACTTAATCGGAATTGAAATACCTAAAAATATAAATTTCAATTGCAATTGGCAGCTTCTGCTGGGGTATTTGCCCAGTGATCGAGCAATGTGGCCCTCTGAATTAGCCAACAAGAGGTCTCAATACAACCATTTCAAGGATGACCTCTTGATGTCTCCCGTATGTCCTCTTTTTTTTTTTCTTTTTTTTTTCTTTTTTTTTTTGTCTTTGGTTCCTTTCACTTTCGATTTTGCTTCGCACTTCTTTCATGTTAATTATTAGTTTAATGATCAAATTTAGGGTGCATCAAAAACCACCTCTAATAGAACCTCTTAACAGATTATGTTTATGAAATTTGGTCTACCGTTTACCCAATTGTAGATAGTAGATAAAGTCTCATAAGAGGAATCGCGGTGATGTTGTATTATGATATTATATGCATATATGGCTTTCTGTTGAGGTTGAGCATAGGATATTAGGATCACTGTTCTAATGCTTTAGGTGATTCTAGTTGCTATGTTGATCATGCAGAAAAGTATACGCAACTTGTTGCTAAGCATTTTTAAGTTTGTGTTATGTTGTTATTGATTGACTGCTGTCTTATTTATGCGCCCTCTACCATTGCTTGAGGCTCTTGGGAGAATAAGTTAAGTGGCCTAATATTGTAATGTCAGGTTCTTGCTGAAAAAGCTTATCTTGTGGGTGTGGAGCAAAAAGGTATTAAAGTGGATTCATTTGGAATAGAAGAATCTCTGAAAGAATTGGCTCAACTAGCTGACACAGCAGGTCTTCAGGTTGTTGGCTTTACTTATCAAAAGTGAGTATGTCGTGGGTTTTTCTAGTGCATAATGTGGTTACGCTATAAGTTGCAATGTGCATATACTTAAGACAGTACAATTAGCTAATTGGAGATTTATATTATCTGTGCATGCCCTAAATCTTCCAGTTAACATGTTATGTATCTCTGTCACTCTGTGTGTGACTGTGAAAGTTGGGGAAGGGTTGGAGAATTGAATGGGGGAGTGTCGCTTAAAACGATAATGTAACTCTTTTAATTAGAACTTAAGGGGTTTCAGTGAGTTGATTTTGTATCCGTTATAATTCTTTGCAAGTGAAAAGCACTTGTAACTTAAGGCATGTTATGTGTCATCTGAGAACATGGCCTCCAAAGCAGCTACAGTTCAATTAAAAGCTTTAGTACCTCCGTTTTAACTTGTTAAGATAGTGATTGTTAAACAAAACTCAGATTACTTTACCAAGTGTGTATTGACTTATGAGTTTTTGTCATATAGTTTACATATGTCTTCTATCAAATACATTTCTCCTTTATTTTTGCTTTGTGAGAACTGCTGGTCTGCATGGTAAATAACTTCAACACCTGCTGTATGAATTAGGCTTGCTGCTCCAAATCCAAGAACATATATTGGCTCAGGCAAGGTTTCTGAGATCAAGAGTGCAATTCATGCATTTGATGTTGAAACAGTGATATTTGATGATGAGCTCTCACCAGGGTAAGAATGAAACACTTTTTTATTTAAAAACTGACAGTTGGTGTACATCCATTGTCTAGCTATCAACATTTACTCATATGAATTTATTGCTGATTGTGAAACGCATCATATGCACGTGACGGATATGATGTGTTTGTAGCAGCTGTTTCTAGTTTGTTCATCTTGCAAAACTTTCCTTGTGGTTAGTTTTCCTTGCCAATTGTCGTTTGGTTTATCTCTCAGTATCTCTTAGCAACAACTAAATGCTTGTTTTGGTAAACAACTTTGTGTAAGGTTCTTTTCCCCTCTTGATTATGCTCAAAGTATGTAGTTCTATTACTTCTATATATGTCTGGTAATTTATGGTGTTTTGGTTCCTTCCCTTGGTTGCTATGTGAGCCAGAGGTGAAGAGCTGTAATTGCAGTATTTGGTTTCCTGTAGATTATGCTCCCCTGCTTATCATCTTTTGATGGTTTCATTGATTGTTGATAAGCTGTAAAATTTGGTACATGCCTAGTGTGTGCAACTGTAATTGTTTTCAGAATTCTGGTGCCTGCTGTGACTGTTAGTTGTCACTTTTGTTTTTTTCGATTAGATTTGGCTCACCTGAATCAAATTACTAGTCCTTGTTTGATCTTGCTTTTGTGATTTTTATATGCCCAGGAGCTCTTGTGCTTCTGATCTCCATATCAGCATATTGTGTAAGTGAAGTTGTCTCTCATCCATGATCAAGGTTAAGGCCTTTTTTTTTTTTTTTTTTTTTTTTTTTTTTTTTTTAATTTTTTTTTTATAGTTATTATTATTATTATTATTATTAATTTTTTTTTAAAAAAATATCATCTTAATGGCCTTGTGGAGTTTTGAACTTGCAAATATCATCTTTCTTAATCATTGTAGGTCCTGGCACATGCTTGATGCTTACTGTAGCATATCATTTTTTTTTTTTAATCTAATTATGCTGCAGGCCACCATAGCCTTCTGGCTCTCATGACCAGTCCCAAGCTGGAGTTCTAGTGGTCATGTGACTCAAAACTTGTAGGGTATGCCAAGAAAACTTGTTTGTCAACATCAAGGTTAGCCTGTTGGGCAGTTTTTGTTTCCCTTTAATTGGTGCCCACACCTAGGTTTTCTGCCACTGACAAAGAATCTTCTCTACATAATTGCATTGCTTTCTTAGTTATTGAGTTTTGTTTTATGCGTTTTCTTTGTTGGTTGGGTGGGTATGTTAATTAGTTCTTGCTTTAATTGCATGCAGTTGATATATTGGATCGATTGCGATTTCCATTTGGGTTAGTTTGTCCTGGTGTTTTTCCTGATCATCCTAAAACTAACATTGCAATTCAAGGGAGTATTCAAAGGTAAATTTTGTTTGTTAATAGTTTTCTATATTTTTCGATTTTGTTTCTGAATTTCATTTTTGATTTTTAAAATTATATTTAAAATCCCCGTTTGAATTTTTTTTCTAATCTCATTGTAATTTCGTTTTCAATTGTAAAGACCTTCAGGCACTGTTGGACATTCTGCACCATTGTTGTCAAGAAGTTCTGAGAATTCTGCTGCTGGTAAATTCTCTTTGCCTAAGATATAGCATCCCCATTACCTACTCCTCCTCGAATAGGTTACTACTCCATGCCCCTAAGTGGTGCTTCTGGAACAGAAAGAAAATCACCACCTTCCAAACTTCACCTGGCTCAGAGAAGTCGGGTGATATTTTCTCACCTCCTTTGACACCAGTGATGTTAGAAAATCAGCATCCAACAAAAAGTTGATTTGGACCATCTTGTAGGCTGCTTTACCAGAGGTAAACTTTATCTTGTTTTCCTGTCTGAAAGTTGTGCTCCAAACATTAATAGTTGATATTAGATAGCATTGTTGCTTGGATATTCTTGAAGTTCTGCCTATCAAGTTTACACTTTGGTTGTTGGCTATTTCCATACTGTCGTTTGTAATGCACAGGCGTTTCAAAACACAACTGTTAATACTGATCTCCATTTAATGATCAGACTATTGGAATTCATCTTTGATTATTGTTCATGTATTTACTCAGTTTATTCATCATTGCATTATCATAATGCGCATAATACTCATATTTGGGGTGTTGTTTCTTTCTGTGTAGCAGAAGTAGCTAGAGGAAGAGGAGAAACTCTCGAAACAGCAAGTTGAGACTCTGAATGCCCATTATCAGAAGTTAGAGATGGTGGTGAATTTTCTGGAACCAATTTGATGAAGCTCATAAACTTGTAAGGTATTTGATCTCATTCAATTTCTCTAAATTTACATCGGTTTCAGATAACTATTGGTAAAAAAAAAAAAACACAAATGAGTTTATAAGAGATAATGGATGATTATTAATAATAAACTTGTAAGGTATTTTGGCTTGTAGTAGTTTCTGCCAATAGATCTCATATGTACGTTGTTAATACAATAATTGTCCAGCCTTAAAACTATAATCCCATCTTGATACGGCAAGACTACTCGAACTAGATACCAGAAGTTAAAAACTGCATGTTAGTGTTGAAAAATTTCTACGCAAATTATGAGTCAGTGTTACTCAATTTAAATGGGGTGGTTTGATGTCCTAAACTGAAGGTCTTTTTGACCTGTTTGCTAGTTCATACTAATTTATTAAAATCCCTTAAACCCTAAACCCTAGCAACTCATAATCTTTGAAATAAAATTCAGATAAGTACGGCAATCAACAATTCATAGCATGAAATCCCCACCTCCAAGATTAGCATTTGGAGAACGCAAACAGATAAATAAAAAATTTCAACAATTCATGCAAATTATAAGCTTATAAGAGCATCAATGGGTATAAAAGAAAGAAGAAAAAAAATCATTATTCATACTTGGAATAATTTTTAAGGTGGGTTACCTTTGAAGATGTTTGTTTGTTTGATAATCTGGTGATTCTATATGTTGTGAGTTTGATTGATAATCTGGTCATAGGCATCCAATTCCCTTTGCTTCCGATGACTTCATGATCCGAAGCCTTTTGCAGGAGGTGATGAACATCTCCAACCAGCATCCAGTCACCATCCTTGTCTTCGTAAGTGGGTGCAACATCAGATCCATTATATCCGTCTCTTTCGGAGTATTGTACGATACATTTCTTGAACATACTTTCCATAGCCTTTAACAGCTCTGGATAACTCTGGGGTACATCTTCTGATGCTTCTGTTTTTTCTGTCCCTGCTGGTTTGCTATGGTCTGTCTTTCTGCTGGCCTGCTGTGTAGCTGTTCTGCGTTCCTGAGCTTAGTTCTGATGTGGTGGCTACTGTGCTTTGCTCTGGTGCAGTTTGTGTTTCTGTGACCCTGGGACTGTTCTGCTATGGTTCAGATTGCTATGATGCTGTTTGCGTTTGGTGTGACTGCTGTTCTTCAAGGACCTACTAGTGCCTGCTCTGCACTGGTTGGGCTGCTGGTTTGGGTGCTGTACAGTAGTGGTGTGGTTTGGTGTTGATGTTTTGCTGGGCTGCGAGGTTATAATATTATTTAATTCTTTTTGGACGAAAATTGTAATAATACAGCATTTTTTAATGAAAATATGTAACTTTTTATATATGTTAATGTTTCTATATCAATTTAAGTGAAAAAAATGCAAATTTTTTTTTTTTTTTTTCATTTTTTTTGGGGTATTTCTGGCACCGGTTCCGGTGCCAAAAGTTTTTTAAAATTTTTTTTTTTGAGACTATTTGCACCGATTTAAGCAAGAACCGGTGCCTAAAGTTAGGTTTTTTGCACCGGTTCTTGCTTAAACCGATGCTAATAGTGTTGATAATAAAAAATAAAAAATAAAAAAATCACGCCTTTGAAGTTGGAACCGGTGCCAAAGCCTTTAGTAGGCACCGGTTTTGAACGGAAGGAGTAAAGCTTTATATATATGATGATGTTCAGATAAATTTCATTATTCATGACATAACATGGTTTTAGAATTTGTACAAAATGAGACGGACAAAGTAAATCTCTTACAAAAATAGACAAATATATAAGAATATAACATTCTAGTTAGGACACGAGCTTAAGTAATTTTGTATTAGATTAGAGCATTCTCATTAAAAATGAAGATAGGCCAATTATAATTGATGTTTGCTTATATATTACACTTAAAATGTAAAGCAACAAACTTTGACAAACAAGCTAAGCTAATAATGAAGATGGTACATGAATAAAATCATGCTTAGTGCAATCTAATTAATCAAAGTACTCCTTCAAAAAAAAAAAAAAAAAATCAATCAAAGTACTACTCGTACATTATTATTGAACAGCCGGGAAACAAACATGGCCGGAGTAGAACGCGATGAATGTGAAGACGACGCACCTTGTGCTGAGACTATCATACGTTGTCGACCAAATTTGATTCTTTTGTAGTGTTTTTTGACCTTATCGGATAACACATCATTATTGATTGCCTCCTTAGCCAACTAATAAGCTTCCATATGAATCGCAAAAAATGTCCCAAGAGTATAGATCCCATTAACCCTAGCCAAGCTACGATAGAAATCCCTAATGCAGGCCGAATTCCGCCATCTCCATAAGTCAGATTGGATACCGAGAACATGTATGTCAATGTTGTTGCCGTGACAGAAATCCATAGGGTTATCCTCAAAATGGATATTAAATATCGCTTGCATGGAAGGCCGCTTATAAGGAGAAGGATGACACTTAGTGATGATATTAGTCCAATGGTGTTACTAACTAGTACATTATTGTAATCAAAAAGATGATCACATGACCATATAGATTTACCCGCATAGTGGCCCTTTTTATCTTTTATTGTATCCTGCCAAACGCCTCCCGGGGGATTAATTCCAACTTGGAAAGCCATGGTTGCGATCAAGGATGCCACCACCATTAGAGATGTGCGATGGTCCTCCAACCAAGCACGGTCTTTTGTCGTTTTCATTGCTTTCTTTGCGGGTAACACATTGGCACAAGTAAGGAGTTTCCATATCTCTGTATCCATATCTTTTGTCGAATCCTTCCGACTTTGCTTATGAGTATCCACAACTGTCAATCCATTTTTGTTAACCGCATTCTTTTTAATCTTTGAATGTGCTAGTATAATTTCTACCATCTGCATATTATCAAATTGAAGTATAAAATTGTAAGTTATGTAATAATCTGTTACAATTTCAACATCCCAAATGACTATTTTATTCATTACATATTGATAGAGTATAAAACATATTCCTAAACTTCAACTATATAAGATTAAGCTTTTAGTTGAGTTGGTCTTCATATTCATCACGTTGGCTCTATGCCTATTATTCCTGAAACTGGTGATGTACCAGCTGCTAGTCTGCTACCGTTATGTATGTATTAAATAATTTTAAGTTATTAATTTAGCATCCTTCTCGTCAGAGAAAAAAAAAAGCTATTTATTATATTCATGCATCTTTGTATTCTCGTTGAGTAGAGCAGTGTGTGTAAGTGAATAAAATTAGTTTTGTTTCTCTATTAATATTATTCTTCTGTTTTACTGCTTTAGCATTAGCTTCAACAATGGCATTATCCTCTTTGCTCAACAAGCAAGGCTCGAATTCACCACAAGCAAGGCTTCAACGATTTGCAAGTGCCCTTCGGCACAGGCAATGTGCAGGGGTGATGATCTTTTTATGTGATCAACCACCTCTACTAGTTTTGGCTTTTTTTCTATTACCTTCTTAGTAAAGTTTACATGCCCAAAATTTGCATGTATCTTTGTATTCTCGAGTAGAGCAGTGTGTGCAAGTGAATAAAATTAGTTTAGTTTCTCTATTAATATTATTCTTCCGCTTTAGTATTAGCTTCAACAATGGCATTATCCTCTTTGATCAACAACTTTGAGTTTTTATTCTTTTAGGGACATGCTACCCCTTGTTACTTCATGGGTCTGCCCTTGCCTCTATCCTCAAGAAAGTTGTGGTGAGTCTATCAAAGTCTAGATCATCCCTAATTTAAATTTTCCAATATGGTGTGTGGTACAGTAACAGTAGTTAACACTTAACACTTTATTTGGATAAGAAAAAAATAAAATAAAAAGATTATTTAATAAGTTACTATTATAGTACGTCGTTCATTTTCATATTACCTCTGGTTGTTTGGCAGCCACAGCTAGGTGCAAGACGGTATTACCAACGGCATCATCGAAGTTAAGCAACTCACCATCATCACCCACCGTTTTTACCAAAAACCTCAAAGCCTCTGGTTGTTTATATTTCACACACAAATGCAACACACTTTCACCACCCATAATCCGCTCCCGAGCAGCTTGTGGCTCTACATTAAGAAGAGCTCTAAGTACGTCAATTTGACCATTTATGGCAGCTACGTGAACAGGCGTCTTACCATCTTGGTCATGTGTGTAGCAAATGCTCGAGTTCACCCCAAGCAAGGTTTTAACGATTTGCAAGTGCCCTTCGGCACAGGCAATGTGTAGGGGTGATGATCTTTTTATTTGATCAACCACCTCTACTAGTTTTGGCTTTTTTTCTATTAACTTGTTAGTAAAGTTTACATGCCCAAAATTTGCTGCTACATGTAATGGCGACTGCATATACTTTCCTGATTTTTCGATAATGCATCGATCAAGGATAAGTGGGTCTTCTCCGAGCAAGTTGAGCAATGAAGGTACGTCTCCCTTGAATGCTGCATCATATAGCTTTGTTGTAGCATGTAATTGGCTTTGTGCATCCATGTTTTGTGTGGTTTATTATAGGAATGAAGTGTTTTGAATTCATGCAATGTAAGTTTGCTTGCAATTGTTCATGCCTTAACCTCTCTTTTATAGCCTTTATTTATGGGTAAGAAACTAAGAATGTTGGATCAATAAATGTACTACCTCCGTTAATTTTTATCTGCAACTTTTACTATTTTAGTCCGCTAAACATTATGTACAATTTTCTATTTTCTTTCTATTTTTAGTAAACAAAAACTTTAGAAATTACATATTTACCCTTACTTAAAAATTCTGATTTTTATAATTTTACCCTTATTTTGCAAGTGGGTGGGCCAACTTTCTCTCTCCTATCACTTTAATTACCAATTTTGCAAGTGGGTGAACCAACTTTCTCTCTCCTATCACTTTAATTACCTTTATTTACTTCCTCTAATATTTGCCCCTTAAGTTTTACCTCGTAAACCGCAAAACACTCCAAAGTTGCAAATAAAAATTGACGGAGGTAGTAGATCTTTTAATTCTCATGTTTTTCTTACTTCACTCTCTATTATGAACTTTTAATCCAAGTAGCGAACCTTTTTCTAGCAAAGACTACTATTATCAAGACTTTTTTTTGGAAAAATGGCAACCACAAATATTATTGGGGGTAATATTGTACATGTATGCGTTTCGAGCTTTTTATAGCAGCCCGCCTTTTTACTAAGTTTTTTCTCTCCTCTCCCTTTTTATAGCTGCCTCCCTTTTTGTTTATTACTCCATTATTATATATTGGTCCTTATATATATTGCCAATTATAAACTTAAGTATAAAACAAAATTTCTTATTAACATAAATTCTTCAAAAAGGCGGGTGTACGTTAATTTATTGTAAAACGGGTTAAACTTATGTTAAAAGTACTAAAAGTTACCCTATATACTGCAAAAGTTATTATTTTTTTATTAATAAATTTTATCTTACAAAAAACTTATAATGTATTAGATTCATATTTAGTGTTTATAGTATGTAATCACGTATCGATAAGAAATTACACATTAAAATAAAATTCAAACCAATGACAAATTAAAAGTTACTCTTTAAGTGGTTAAAGTTATCATAAAAATAGTTAAAGTTACGCTCAAATTGACCGTTTTACAATAAAACTAATGCACACCCGTTGTACACAAAGTAGAACATTAATAAATAAAATTAAATTAAAAAAAGGAGTGAAGTAAATAAATTTGACAGATGGAGAAGACACGAGGAAGAATTAAAAGTCCAGCCCAAAAGCTAGGTAATATTATAAACCGTTACCAATTGACAATAGAAAGGAATAGTCCGCTTGGGTTATAAACTTGATGTCATTTACTTCAATTAATTAATGTGATTAAACTTTACTCAAACTTGCACATAACATATATGCTAAATTAATAATGTTAATCTGTTAGATTTTTTGTTTTTTTTTTTTTTGAAGGAATATTAATCTGTTAGATGTTACAGTGAAAATTTAGGATAAAAAAATTTCAAAGTTTGCACATAAATTTCGTGCAGTGAGCTTCGGCAATAATGGAAGTAGCTTCTGGTAATTTGGTATATATCCAGCCAGTAATCGTTGATGATTTACGGATATAAAATGCATGTTGAGTAAACGCTAGTCTTCTTGTGGATAGACTGGCCCGTTGACGATTCAAGAATATAATGTGTAGTCTTCTAGTGGAAATTTAAAGTTAGACCGATCAATTGATAACCTTTTAGACTTATAGTAGGTGTCCTTTACAATCGAGTGCAAGACATACTGTTGTAACTTTAATAATTCAAGGACCTTTTTGAGCTATAGTAGGTGTCCTTTACAATCCAGTGAAAGATATAATGTTCTAACTTTAATAATTCAAGGGTATACCAGTATTCCATTAAATTTTTGAGCAAGTACTAGTTTCTCAAAAGATTTTGGATTTGTTTCTAAAATGACATTTTTGTAATTATTTAGATATTTATAGTGGATTCCTTTACTGATTGAGTGAGAAAATAGCATGTGATGAGATAATAGAATTTTTCCTTCATTATCTCCGTCATCTTCATCCTTCCATGCATCTTCCTTCCTTATTCCTTTCTTATCAACAATGGTGGATTCATCCCAAGTCCCCACCAACAAACAAACACCATCCTCAACACCAGTACACCACTAACATCGCAACAAAACCCTATCCCAACACACTGATTCCGGCGGCAAAGTTAACGAAAAACCTTAAGAAAAAAAATATGTAAATTAAGGGCATAGTTAACCTAAATGGTAGGTATTTGTCATTATTTTTGAGCGATTTCTTCATTGTTGTAAAAATTCCGACCTCCATTAGTGAAGGTTTCTCAAACTTCATTGTTGAAGAGAGATGGGTATGTTATTTGTGGGTTACCGTTGTTAAGCTTCTGTTAGACCAAAAAGACGAATATACCCAATTGAAGTTATTTTTATCAAATATTATTATTTTAAGGTGAACTGAACAATTTTTCAAAAAAAACAAAAAAAAGGTTGCCCATGGGCTAAATAGTGTAGGGGCACTAAATTTAAAGAGTAGTTAGGAAAGTTTAGTGGATTAAAAGGTGTAAAACAGGAGTATGTAGGTAATTATATAAAAATTAAAAATAGAAACAAACACTGAATTTTGCTATTATATTTAAATCGATTATGGGATGGAGTACATGCATTTAATCATGGGATGGAGGGAGTACATTTTAATATTAGTATTATATTTTTCTCCTCTCATTGTTCTCCCTCAAACCCACTACTATTTTTTTTTATTATTATTTCTTTCTCTTGCATTGTTTTTTACTTTTCAATAAACTATTAACCTCACTAACTTTGTTTTATAATTTTTCAATACTCCAATTACCCACTTACCTCTTATTTTATTTAAGTCAATTAAAACTCGCGGAGGGAGTAAATATTTTGAACCCTTAAAAATTGTTAACAGAGAAAGATCCATTATAATTGATCAAGTAAAAATACACAATCTTTTGAACAATAAGCTAATAAGATGGTACATAATACTTGAATATTTGAAGTGATGCTTAATACAATCTAATTAACAAAAGTACTACATTATTGGTGAGTCGTCACTCGTCGGTAAAAACAATAAACATGAGTGGCGTAGAAATGTAGATTTTGAATAATGTGACAGACATACATTAAATATTAGTGTTGAGACCATTATACATGGTTAATATGATATTTTTCTGTAAATCCATTTTCAATATCTTATTGTTGTTATTAGAGTATAAAATATATTATTAAGCCTTAACAATTGGCTTAAAAGTTTGGACAACATGATTTTTGATTTCCTAACAATGCTAGGATGAAAGCTTTAATAATTGCATGGTGCATAGTAGCTATATAAGAGCGTTGTCATTATAACTTAAGATAGGTCGATTATAATGGGTGCTTGCATATATATTACAAGTACATTCTAAATGGGATTATTTGACTTTTGCTACCACCAAAAGACCACATTTCACTTTTGCTACCGCTTAATTTTTATTTTTTTATTTTACTACCTCACAAAAACACAGTTGTTAAAAATTGGTACCACTTAACGAAATCCGTTAAGTTTATTAAAATAAAAAACCACCACCCTCAACTGCCACCCTCCCCCCTCCCTTCCCTCCACCTTTGCAGCCCACCACCCTCAACTACCAACCAGCCCCATCCCGTCAGCCACCCTCCCCCCTCCCCCTGCCGGCGACCGGCGCCTGATTCTTTGGCCGGCGCCAGCGACCTCCCCAATCCCTTTCCCCCACCAACACAACCCACCCCCTCCCTTTAATCCCTTTCTCGCTGCCCCAACCCCCACCCCGAAACCGGAAAACAACCCTCCCTCCCCATCCCACCCAGCCCCCACCTCGAAACCGGAAAGCAAAAGTGAGACTGGTAGCCTAAAGTTACTGTGAGATTAATAGCCCAAAGCTATTACTATCCTTGTAGTCCTTTCGTTAATTTCCAATTAATTAGTCAAAGTACTCAAGCTTTCCTTAAACTCGTGTTAATTATCATAATTGCCGTGTGAGGAAATCGGTTCCTGACAGAGAACTGGAGGAGGATCGAGTATGGAAGCAAATTCGGGAGGTATGACAAGGTGAAAATTCTCTGCTAACGGTGTCTCCATCAACCAAAAGAACAATGGCTCGATTTCTGGTCGGAGAAAAACCAGATCTGAGATATTCGGGAGGTGAACAACATCTTCAAATCTTTCCATTCCATTGGAACATTCAGAGGATCGAGAATCATTTGGCGAACTTGTTCCGCAGTTGAGGGTGGTTGACGGGAGGGGGCTGGCTGGTAGTTGAGGGTGGTGGGCTACAAAGGTGGAGGTCTGGAGGAAAGGGAGGGGGGAGGGTGACAGTTGAGGGTGGTGGGTATTTTTTTTTTTATAATAAACTTAAATTAGAATCCGTTAGGATTCCGTTAACTGGTAGCAATTTTTAACAACTGTGTTTTTGTGTGGTAGTAAAATAAAATAAAAAAATTGAGCGGTAGTAATAGTGAAATGCTGGTCTTTTGGTGGTAACAAAAGTCAAATAATCCTTTTAAATGTTAAGCAATATACTATAAATTCTCACAAACAAGCTAATTAGAAGATGGTACATATATACTTGAAATGATTCTTAGTAAGTGAGACATAAACCTATTCGTTTCAATTTTATCAGATGTCTCAATGGTAATTAAAATAATATGTAAGTTTTATTCGAAGGAAAATAAATAAATTAAAAGCATATATATATGTCAATGAATATACTACGTTTAGAACTTGAAATGCGCAAACTCTTATTTTATCAATGAGAAATCATTAGACATTCATAGAATATTAACAATATTTCTTATGTAAGATAATATTTAAAATAATTGATATGTGATAGTAGTGTTATAGTAGTATAAACTATACACGGAGTAATGGAGTATACAAGTAGAGAAGGCATGAAAAATAATTACTACTAGGTATGATATACTATATAGTGAGTTCGAAAGTTTTTGGAGTAAAAAAAAATTAATTTAAGTGTTTTGGATTAAAAAAAAAGTATCACAAAGCAAATACTTCATATTAATTTATCTGATAAAGTGAAATAACAAAAGAGAACAGTTGTTTAATAGGCGGTCTCTTTACATATACTCTACGTAATTACACGTCAGAGTGTTAGACCTGTTGTCAGCAATTTGTATGAGAAGACTTAAGAGCCGCCTGTTACAAAAAACAGGTCTTTTTGATCAACAATTTTTTTTTTTTTTTTTTTTTTTTTTTTTTTTTTTTTTTTTTTGAGAATGGGGGTACAACTGTACCTCTGTGTACCCCCTAGATCCGTCACTGCTAGGTGCAAGATGTACATGTTTTGGACATCATAAAAAAGAACCATGAAAAAATAAATTTTGTGAATTGAAGGAGAAAAGCTTTATATGTTTAGATAATTTTCATTATATATTCATGTTATCAGAAAGACTAAACATAACATAGCATGGTGTTAGAATTTGTACAAAACGACATTGACAACGTAAATCTCCTACAAAATAGACGAATATAACATTTTAGTTTGGACGCGCGAGCTTAAGTAATTTTGTAGTAGATTAGAGCATTCTCATTATAAATGAAGATAGGCCAATTATAATTGATGTTTGCTCATATATTTCACATACAATGTAAAATAACAAACTTTCACATACAAGCTAATGATGAAGATGGTACATGATCGAATAAAATGATGCTTAGTGCGTGAAATCTAATCAATTAAAGTACTACTCGTACATTATTATTTAACAACCGGGAAACAAACATGTCTGGATTAGAACGCGACGAGCCAATGACTGTAAAGACGACGCACCTTGTGTTGAGACTATCATACGTCGTTGATCAAATTTGATTCATTTGTAGTGTTTTTTGACCTTCTCGGATAACACATCTTGCAAAATCTTATTATTGATTGCCTCCTTCGCCAACTAATAATCTTCCATATGAATCGCACAATATGTGTAACAACTATAGTTCCCATTAACGCTAGCCAAGCTATGAGAGAAATCCCTAATGCAAACAAAATTCCGCCTCCTTTATAAGTTAGCCTGATTACTGAGTTCATGTATGTTGTTGCCATGACAGAAATCCATAGTGTTATCCTCAAAACCGATAATAAATGTCGCTTGCACGGAAAAAACCGCTGATAAATCTAAACCAAACCAAACTAACATATCATAATATTAAACTAAACTAACATACATTACATAAAGCTAAACTAAATTAAACTACATTATATTAAAATACACTAAACTAAACTAACATACATTACATAAAGCTAAACTAAATTAAACTACATTATATTAAATACACTAAAACTAAAGTAACATGCATTGTATTAGGGTTTGTAATGTGACAATAAACCCACTAATTGTACAAATCCTACAAAAAAATTGAAAAGTAAAAAAAATATAAAAGGGTTTATTATTATACCAAAATAAAATTGAATTGAAACAAAAGGGGAAAAGGAACTCACTATGGGTAGATATAAACTTGGCAGTGGCTGCACGACAAGCTTGGTGGAGGTGGCGTCGGTGGTAGCTGCAAAATAAGGGCGGTGGAGGAAATTAATTCATTAAAAATTTAAAAAAAAAAGGGGGAAAGTAGGAGGACTTACCGGAAGTTTCAGTAGGGGGAAAAGGTGGTGTTTCTGATCGCGGCGACGGCGGGGAGGAGGTTGGAGGTAGCTTGATGGATCGGAGGTGGCGTCGGTGGTGCCTGTGAAGAGGTAGTTAGGGTTTAGCTCATGTTAACTGTTAAAAATTAAAAAAAAAAAAAAAAACAACACTAACCTCACAGCGGCGTCAAGGGCGGCAGAAGCTGGCTTAGGTGGCAGCAATGAAGGAGGAACGGGGGTGGCTGCGAAAACAGTGGTTCTGGTTAGGGTTCCGAAAAAAAAGTAAAAAAATATCACAAAATTAACTACACTTAATTACTGATCGGCGGCCAAGGAATCAAGGCGGTGTAAGCTGGTGGTTGCGGCGGATCTGGTGGTCGCCAGTCCTCTTCCACTTCCTCTTTCTTTTTCTCTTTATCTTTCTCCCGTTTGCTTTTTCTCACTCTTCCCCCTTTTTTGTTTCTGTTTCGTGAATTACAATGAAACAAGCTTGGTTATGTTTTAATTATTCCGACGAAATTAAATTTTGTCGGAAATACATACTTCCGACGGAATAATTCTGAGGGATTTTACGTCGAAAAATACCTTTTCCGACTGATATTCTGACGGATCCAAATTCATCGGAAAATTTGAATTTTTCAACGGAATTTGAGGTCCGTCAGAACGATTCTGTCGGAAAACGACCTAAAGCTAGTAGTGAGGGGAACGCATGAGGTTCGACCGAACCTATCCCCTGTTAGACCGAACTAAGGGTAGATTGGTCGAACTTACCAAATGTTCGGTCGGACAAGGCTGTCAGTAGCAGCAGTTCAATTTCTTCAAACAGTTCGACCAAACTTTTCTAGAGTTCTGTCGAACTTCCGCACTGCACAGACAACTCTTCGTAAAACGACCATAACTCCCTGGATTCTTGACCAAATCGAGATGAGCTATAACCTCAAACTTTAATCATCTCAATATCAATTCTAGACCTTAAGATATGCTCATTTGAAGTCAGCCCTTATCTTTCATTATTGCTTTGCACGCACCAGACAAACAATCCATAGCATAATTCCAAAGCTATGCATCCCCTTAGCCTTATTGAACCGTTCTCCACACTTCTAAAACCCAACACCGTACTATTTGCTTGATCAATTTATATAATAGACGAACGACATGCCAAAGGATGAGTAGTCCTAGCAAGAATATCCAAGCAACACTCGCAGTAATTATTGTATTTTGAACAAGATGATGATTTTTGGGCGACATCAGATCTTCAGTAAGGGAATTTAGGCTCTCCTTTTGGAGGTCTCAAGGAAGTAAAGTGAGACTATGTAAGTCATGGTTAGTTGTTGCTGTTACTGCGATCCACATAGTTAACATCAAAAGTTCCATGACGAGTCCCATACAAGAGAATCCACTTATAAGAACTATGACACTTAAAGATGAAACTAGTCCTTTTTGTGTTGGAGACGAGGAACGCATCATATATTCCTTATTGATTTCACCACCAAACCGTTAAATTTTTTTTTTTATTGATTTTCGTGGTTAAAACATGCTTTTTAGAGGTTTTGGGGGTTAGTTTTGTCCAAAGTATCCAATTTGAAGTCAAAATTAACAAATAATTATAAAAAATGCCTCATTTTGCGTGTGTCATGCAAATTAAGGTATTTTTTTAGTATGTAAGATGAGGCATTTTCAATCATTTTTTTTTTTGTAAATTTTTGACTTTAAATCGTATTCAAAGGGGGAAAATGACCCCCATAACATCAAAATATTGTTTTTTTGGCAAGAAAATCGAAGAAAATTTTGTAAACCTTTAGATTTAAAGTTTTTTTTTTTATGGAAAGTGTTAAAAGGTGGTGAAATGTATTTTTTTTGTTTCTTTGAGTGGTAATTTAAAATAAAATTTCTTTTGGGTGATAATTACAAAAAGTGAGTTTTTATGGGCGGTAAAATACAAAATAACCTAAAAACCATAGTATCATTGGATTCCTGGCCTCCTAAGATAATCCTGGACAAGCTGGTACAGTTTCTGAGGGATGAAGTTGACTAAGGGAATCCCAATTTTATTTTTTTTGGTGAGAGTGAATCCCAATTTGTAGAACTTAATGGATTATAAATGACAATTATTTCCCTCATTGTACATTTGTACTCCATATCCGTCCTTGTATTTTGGTTCATTTAAAACATTCTTGCTTTGTCATGAAATTAAAATGAATATTATTAAACCTTAGAAATTGTTAAGAGCAAAAGACCAATTATAATTGAGATGGTCCTTTAACAATTACCATCTATATCAAATGGGTTGTACTCTTGTAAAGGAAATTTTAAGGTGTAATTCTATTAGAGATATGAGATATCGGAAAATATATGTGTGATGTATATTTTATATTAATATTATCATGAAAATAATATATTTAATTTTATTAATGTTAAAGATATATGCCTATCGTGACTTATTCTAGTGATGGGTACTTACGAAACACAAATTCTCTAAAAAGGCGGGTGTACGTTAATTTATTGTAAAACGAGTTAAAGTTATGTTAAAAGTAATTAAAGTTACCCTTTATACTGCAAAAGTTATTAGTTTTCTATTAATAAATTTTAGGGAAATTCTCAATGGTAACCCCCAACTTTTGCTACGCACCAACGGTAACCTCCCTTTTTTTTTTCAACTATACAAAATTACCTTAATTAAAATTTCATCTCACTCATAACCTTATTTCATTAAATATATTAACTATGCTTAGATTTATAATTAAAAAAAAAAGAAAAACTAAAAAAATTAACCCAACCACCAACCTTCCTCCTTCCTTTCTCTTTCCTCTCCATCCTTACTCCTCCTCCATAATTTCCGACAGCCCCTCCACCACCATAATCATTCTATTATCTCTTTCACTCAAATTCTTCAATTATTGATCAAAACCTTGTAGACAAAAGAGTCAAGTCTGATTAGACAGCATTGACTGTTCAAGGATATGATATAATTGAGTAATTGATGGTCCTAGCACGTGGAATAGTAAGCTTAAACGTATACCATATATTTATTTAATAATAACGTTTGATATCTAGATCATCTGGCGGCTAGTAGGAGTGATGTACACTACTCATTCGTAGAATCGTAGAAATAAAGACCTGGTCTAATTTGTATAATATGCATCATTGAAAGATATTTTAATGAAAAAGAAGTTACAATAATGCCATAATTTGTAGTAAAATGTAAAAAAGACCAATGACCAGTATTTTAGTACCAATTGGATCTGATTTTAAAGCCTTATATGTATGATGGTATAGCGTATATGTAATTATGTTTGACATGGTTGTAATGGTATATTCTTGAGGTGGTTGTTTAAACAACTATCAAGACACTTGATCTGAAATGATCAATTAACCTTCGAACGAGGGAAAACGACCGCTAGCTTCATGAGAAAACGTCTACCTAATATAATTCTGCGATTCATTGATAGAAAATTCAAGTTGTAATATAAATAGTTCATAATAATAGTCTCAATATTTTTATTATTGACAAGATAATATGACTACTTATATAACAGTGATGTCAATTTAAGGTGAAATAGCAAGCAATCGATGTATGCATTTCATATCAAGGCCAAAAAACGTGAAAATCATCTAGATAAACATATTAATCAGTGGTTCATGGAGGCGGATGTACCATGCGCATGGTACATCCGTTCTAAAATAAAAGCGGAAAGAAATTGTATAAAAATTTAAGAAACATTTAGTTTAAGTGAAAAGAACATTTAGTTAAAGTGAAAAGAACATATTATAGAATTGTAACGAACATATGTCTAAAGTGAAAAGAACATTTTGTTAAAATGTAATGAATATGATACAAGAACATAAGAGATATAAAAAAAGAACATAGAGCTATTAATAACAATGAACATGATACTATTTTATAAACAACACACTGTTAAATAATTTTCTTTACCTCTGTGTTATTTTATTTGTCAGTGTAATGTATTTTTATTTGTGACATAATGTTCATTGTTTACTGTGAAATGTTCTTTAAATTTTGTCGTTAGATTATAATAGGTGAATATAAATAATGTTCATTACATAATGTTCTCATGTTCTTTATTAAGTGAAGACACCGCCATAAGGGAAGTACGTTGCTTATCTATCCAATTGCTACGTACTGCTTTATTTAGGTTTCAGCAATTTTTTTGCCTCTAACACTTTGGCGCGCCTTAAGGCTAACCAAATACCGCCATCACGAGGGTCTTTCTTACTTTGGATGTACATGTCCATTGCTGTTAAGCCATTAGTGTTGATTGCGTTTTTCTCCATCCTCTTTTCCTTCGGTAAGAGCTTCATAGTCAACACATTTTATGTGTTAGTCAAAAGTGCAAAGTTTATGTTAGGCATAAGTATTGCAGTTTTTATATATAGAAGACTTGAACTAAGATCGATGCTGCCTTATCAATATATCTTCACTCCATTTTGTATTCCGTATGAAACTGAAATACTTTTTACACATTAAACTAGATAATTCAAATATAGTCTTATGACATTTTACTATTGCAATTTTTTAAAAATAAACGGCTGAAATTATTTGTTTTTTTTTTATTTATTTTACTAATTTTAATTAAAAATAATTTTTTAATTATTTTAAATATACTTTTATCTTTCAATTATTATTTTTTTATATTTTGAAATTCTGGAAATAAAAAAAAATTAAAAAATAAAAAATAATTTTTAATTAAAATTATTAATTAAAAATAAATCAAAAAACAAATAATCTCAACCGTCTATTTTAAAAAATTGTGGTAATCAAAAGTCATAAGACCACATTCGAATTTTCAATATTAAACTTGTTTTAAAATGAGCTAATTAATCAATTTGATTTTTTTTGTCAACAGCTACTTAATTAAACTCATATTTTGTGAGAAATTACCTAATTAATAAAAAAAAAATATTGTAATAAATTACCTTATAAAAGGTAAAATGTTGTTAAAAAAACTATCTCATAAAAGGTAATATGTTTTAATATACTACCTATGTCAAATTTCCACCATTAGTCAACCTTTAAAAAACCCCCGAATCCACTGCTTTTATCCCCAGCCCAAAACCCACACAACCTACTTGAAATAGCCTGTTGCACCATGCCAAAACCACCCTCTAACCCCAAAACCACCATTTCTAACCCCTAAAACCACCATCTCGAAGCATGAAAAATCGGAATATACTCAAACCACATCGAAAATAACCTTACCATTTGAAAACCAACCACCATCGTGGTTTCGAGGGTGTTTTGAGGTGAGCGATGCCGTAAAATTAGGTTAATGGCGGAAATTCATCCAAAGGTAGTATCTTACAACATTTTACCTTTAATTAGGTACTTTTTACAACAATTTTTTTATTAGGTATTTTCTCACAAATTTTAGGTTCTATTACGTAGTTTCTAACCCTTTTTTTAAAATACATCTTCATATATCAAATTTTTAATAATTTTGCTAATAAACTAATTAAAGATATTAATGAGCAAAATTGACCATTACAACATTACCAATCAAGCCAATACACTTATTTACATGCAAAATTATTCAAGACTTGTTAGATATGCTAGCCAGTTTTTACTTCCAGTCTTGGAAAACAGATATCTAGTGTGGGTTGAGATAAAGAATTTCCATGGTCGTTTTTTAAGAAAAAAACAAAACGAGTATACAAAATTACAAATACAACTAACAAATTAGTGAACACGTCATTAAGACTTATTCCTTAACTAAGGAACTGGGTTAACCAGTTATTGGGGGAATTTGTACTATGGCAGCTGCCATTTTTGTGATAGCAAGATGGTCCCCCCTACTATACATTAATATAAAATAAAATTAGATTAAAAATTTAAAATTTAAAATTTAAAAATTTTGCCTAAAAGTATTTTGATACAAAATTTATAGTCGGTATAGTAGAATAAATTATTGTTCATTTAATTTAAAGTTCGCCTTTTGCATTAAGTTAAAAATAAAAAAAAAGTATAGCTATATTATGGAGTATATTTATCTTATATGCGAGTAAAACTTAACTTTAACTGTGTAGTAAAAGTTACCTTAAAAAAAGTCATTGAATTATTGTGCTTCCAATGCATCCAAACGATTTTTATGACTAGTATAGGATGAATGGTATATTGCAAGTAGTTTTATAATAGCTCAAATAATTCGGTAGTTGTTGTTATGAAAAGGCCGTAAATATGCAATACTAAATCAGGATTAACAAAATTTCAAGAGTTTGTCATCTTTTTATCAACAAATAATAGAATTTGATTTTAAATTCTTTTCAGTATATAAAGAATAAAAAGACATTTAACATTTTTCCTAAATTTTTTTTTCAGTGAAGCAGACCCTGGGAAAAAAAAAATTACAATGGCGATAACTTTGAAATGTATTTCCCTACTAGTTCATGTCAAAGAGAACTCAATTACCGTCAAAAAAAAAAAAAAAAAAAAAAAGAATAGAGAACTCAATTAGAGACGTGACGTAACATTGATGAGTTCATTGGCGTGACGTAACAATGTAACATTGATGAGTTTATTGGCGTGACGTAATATTATTAGCATTAGTTTAGAACTTATAGAACTCTACTGTAGACCTGCACTAAAAGTCTAAATGAAAGTTTATTGGAATACAAAAGGTATTTTACTTGCTATATGGGCTTTGTCAAAGCAAGCTCAAGTAGACCAGGCAATCTTGACCCGACCCGTACGATTCGATTTAAATGATCCGTTCTGTGACTTGAAAACGTAAATTTGAAATTGACCCGATCGAACACGAAACTGACCCGATCCGACTCATACCCGACCAAAATGGAGGTGACCCGAAATTGACCCGATTCACAAATTGACCCGACTTGAATTAATCCAACCCAAAGTTGACCCGATTCCCGAATTGACTCGACTCGAAGCCGATAGTGATTATACATACGAAACAATATAGTCGCCTTGAATGTATAGTACTGTTGGAATTGTCTAATGGATATTTAATATATATTCAATTGTTATACTTTATCTTATTGATAATAATAATATATTATTGGTCAAATTTCTACATCGACTTGGACAAAGATTGACCGACTGGAATTGACTCGACCCAAATTTGACCCGACCCAAATTTGACCCGACCCAAATATGGCGTGACAAATGGACCCGAAGACTGACCTGAAGTGTTAACCCGTTACCTGACCAGACCCGAATTACCATTGACCCGGGCCGAATAGTGATTGACTCGAAATTGACCCGACCCGACCCGAACGACCCGTTTTCCATGTCTAAGCTCAAGTAGGGGGAGAGAAAAAAACAATTTATTATAAACTCAAACTGTTAAACTACCAAACCAGATTTTGAAAAATCTGTTAAATTTCGAGACAATATGAAATGGGCCTAGACAATTCGAACAAGGAGGATGAGAGTTTGGTCTACTAACAAGGCTTAGGAGCATCCATACTAAAATAATTAACAATATATCTTAAGTAAGATAATATTTAAAATAATTGATATGTGATAGTAGTGTTATAGTAGTATAAACTATACACAGAGTAATGGAGTATACAAGCAGAGAAGGCATGAAAAATAATTACCACTAGGTATGATATACTATATAGTGAGTTCGAAAGTTTTTGGATTAAAAAAAAATTAATTTAAGTTTTTTTAATACTTCATATTAATGTATCTGGTAAAGTGAAATAACAAAAGAGAACAGTTGTTTAATAGGAGGTCTGTTTACATATACTCTACATAATTACGCGTCAGAGTGTTAGACCCATTGTCAGCAATATGTATGAGAAGACTTAAGAGCTGCCTGTTACAAAAAAAACAGGACTTTTTGATCAACAATTTTTTGTTTTTTGTTTTTTTTTTTTTGAGAATGGGGGTACAACTGTACCTCTGTGTACCCCCTAGATCCGTCACTGCTAGGTGCAAGATGTACATGTTTTGGACATCATAAAAAAGAACCATGAAAAAATAAGTTTTGTGAATTGAAGGAGAAAGCTTTATATGTTTAGATAATTTTCATTATATATTCATGTTATCAGAAAGACTAAACCTAACATAGCATGGTGTTAGAATTTGTACAAAACGACATTGACAACGTAAATCTCCTACAAAATAGACGAATATAACATTTTAGTTTGGACGCGCGAGCTTAAGTAATTTTGTAGTAGATTAGAGCATTCTCATTATAAATGAAGATAGGCCAATTATAATTGATGTTTGCTCATATATTTCACATACAATGTAAAATAACAAACTTTCACATACAAGCTAATTATGAAGATGGTACATGATCGAATAAAATGATGCTTATTGCGTGAAATCTAATCAATTAAAGTACTACTCGTACATTATTATTTAACAACCGGGAAACAAACATGGCTGAATTAGAACGCGACGAGCCAATGACTGTAAAGACGACGCACCTTGTGTTGAGACTATCATACGCCGTTGATCAAATTTGATTCATTTGTAGTGTTTTTTGACCTTCTCGGATAACACATCTTGTAAAATCTTATTATTGATTGCCTCCTTTGCCAACTAATAATCTTCTATATGAATCGCACAACATGTGCAACAACTATAGTTCCCATTAACGCTAGCCAAGCTATGAGAGAAATCCCTAATGCAAACAAAATTCCGCCTCCTTTATAAGTTAGTCTGATTACTGAGTTCATGTATGTGGTTGCCGTGAAAGAAATCCATAGTGTTATCCTCAAAACCGATAATAAATGTCGCTAGCACGGAAAACCGCTGATAAATCTAAACCAAACCAAACTAACATATCATAATATTAAACTAAACTAACATACATTACATAAACCTAAACTAAATTAAACTACATTATATTAAAATACACTAAACTAAACTAACATGCATTGTATAAGGGTTTGTAATGTGACAATATACCCACTAATTGTACAAATCCTACAAAAAATTAAAAGTAAAAAAAATATAAAAGGGTTTATTATTATACCAAAATAAAATTGAATTGAAACAAAAGGGGAAAAGGAACTCACTATAGGTAGATATAAACTTGGTGGTGGCTGCACGACAAGCTTGGTGGAGGTGGCGTTGGTAGTGGCTGCAAAATAAGGGTGGTGGAGGAAATTAGTTCATTAAAAATTAAAAAAAAAAAGGGGGGAAAGTAGGAGGACTTACCGGAAGTTTCAGCATAGGAAAAAGGTGGTGGTTCTGATCGCGGCGACGGAGGGGAGGAGGTCGGAGGTAGCTTGATGGATCGGAGGTGGCGTCGGTGGTGCCTGTGAAGAGGTAGTTAGGGTTTAGCTCATGTTAAATGTTAAAAATTAAAAAAAAAAAAAAAACAACACTAACCTCACAGTGGCGTCAAGGGCGGCAGAAGCTGGCTCAGGTGGCAGCGATGAAGGAGGAACGGGGGTGGCTGCAAAAACAGTGATTCTGGTTAGGGATCCGAAAAAAAAAGTAAAAAAAAATCACAAAATTAACTACACTTAATTACTGATCAGCGGCCAAGGAATCAAGGCGGTGTAAGCTGGTGGTTGCGGCGGATCTGGTGGTCGCCGGTCCTCTTCCACTTCCTCTTTCTTTTTCTCTTTCTCTTTATCTTTCTCCCATTTGCTTTTTCTCACTCTTCCCCTTTTTTGTTTCTTTTCGTGAATTACAATGAAACAAGCTTGGTTATGTTTTAATTAATTCTGACGAAATGAAATTCTGTTGGAAATACATACTTCTGACGGAATAATTCTGAGGAATTTTATGTCGGAAAATACCTTTTCCGACGGATATTCTGACGGATCCAAATTCATCGGAAAATTCGAATTTTCCAACGGAATTTTAGGTCCATCGGAACGATTCTGTCGGAAAACGACCTATTTCTAGTAGTGAGGGGCACGCATGAGGTTCGACCGAACCTATCCCCTGTAGACCGAACTAAGGGTAGATTGGTCGAACTTACCTAATGTTCGGTCGGACAAGGCTGTCAGTAGCAGCAGTTTAATTTCTTCAAACGGTTCGACCAAACTTTTCTAGAGTTATGTCGAACTTCCGCACTGCACAGACAACTCTTCATAAAACGACCATAACTCCCTGGATTCTTGACCAAATCGAGATGAGCTATAACCTCAAACTTTAATCATCTCAATATCATTTCTAGACCTTAAGATATGCTCATTTGAAGTCAGCCCTTACCTTTCATTGTTGCTTTGCACGCACCAAGCAAACAATCCATAGCTTAATTCCAAAGCTATGCATCCCCTTAGCCTTATTGAACCGTTCTCCACACTTCTAAAACCCAACACCGTACTATTTGCTTGATCAATTTATATAATAGACGAACGACATGCCAAAGGACGAGTAGTCCTAGCAAGAATATCCAAGCAACACTCGCAGTAATTATTGTATTTTGAACAAGATGATGATTTTTGGGCGACATCAGATCTTCTGTAAGGGAATTTAGGCTCTCCTTTTGGAGGTCTCAAGGAAGTAAAGTGAGACTATGTAAGTCATGGTTAGTTGTTGCTGTTACTGCGATCCACATAGTTAACATCAAAAGTTCCATGACGAGTCCCATACAAGGGAATCCACTTATAAGAACTATGACACTTAAAGATGAATGCATCATATATTCCTTATTGATTTCACCACCAAACCGTTAAATTTTTTTTATTGATTTTCGTGCTTAAAACATGCTCTTTAGAGGTTTTGGGGGTTAGTTTTGTCTAAATAATCCAATTTGAAGTCAAAATTAACAAATAATTATAAAACTGCCTCATTTTACGTGTGTCATGTAAATTAAGGTATTTTTTTAGTATGCAAGATGAGACATTTTCAATCATTTTTTTTTTGTAAATTTTTGACTTTAAATCGTATTCAAAGGGGAAAATGACCCCCAAAACATCAAAATATTATTTTTTTGGCAAGAAAATCGAAGAAAATTTTGTAAACCTTTAGATTTAAAGTTTTTTTTATGGAAAGTGTTAAAAGGTGGTGAAATGTATTTTTTTTTTTGTTTCTTTGAGTGGTAATTTAAAAGAAAATTGCTTTTGGGTGATAATTACAAAAAGTGAGTTTTTTTATGGGTGGTAAAATACAAAATAACCTAAAAACCATAGTATCATTGGATTCCTGGCCTCCTAAGATAATCTAGGACAAGCTGGTACAGTTTCTGAGGGATGAAGTTGACTAAGGGAATCCCAATTTTTTTTTTTTTGGTGAGAGTGAATACCAATTGGTAGGCGTGTCGCGTACCTAACAAAATATAACCTAACTAACCACTACTATGTAGGTTGGCAAGCAAGGGTCGAATCCCAAGAGACTAAGGTTCAAAAATAATTAAATAGACTCAAATTCCTACTAAGCAAGAATCAATAATGATCGATTAACTAAGGAATTAATGTATGGAAAATTCGAAAATAAACTAAAGAATATGAAGAAATCAAGTAATTAAAACATCCAAGATCAAGTATCACCACAATTACGCTTGATGCAATTATATTTCTACCCCTAACATACGATTCCAATTGAACGGGGAAAAGTAAACCCTAACAATTACCAAGGATCTCTCTCGAGTATCAATGGCTTCCCTAGCATACAATCAATCCTATTCTCATGGTATCATGCATATTAAAGACATTAAACACGTTACTCTCACTTCCCAATTATCAAACATAATTACTCTCGTGTTATGAATCAAACCCTAAATTAATTTACTCAAATCCGTTTATACCCAACTCTCGCTGTGATAAAAACAATGGAATAATCGCAATACTATAGTTACGTCTAACCTAGCATTGGCATAATCACAATCAATTTAGCAATTCAATTGTTAAAGTTGTTAGAGAATTTAAAGATTTAATTCATGCATCAATCATAATTGGGCTACCCTAGATCTTGGAATAGGGAATCTACTCACACATGATTAAAGAAACAAAAACAATAATAAATAATGAAAACATAATTAAGAAACAAGAGATTAAAAGAAAATACCGAATCTTGAATTGAATTGAAGGCGGAAAGTGTAAATCTTGAATCTTGAATTACAAAAGTAAAATAAAAAAATAGAGAGAACTAGTTCTTAATAACGTGAAAATAAAAGGCTAGAATAAAACTTAATAAAGAAATAAAACACTACTTAATATATATATAGCCCTAGAAAGATAAGGAGATAACGAAATTTCTTGGCGCACAATCTTCCCAGGAGGCACGGACGTGCCTCTCTAGAAATAAAAAAACGCTGCAGAGTCTGTCTTCCAAGCACGGACGTGCCTGACTGATGGGCACGGACGTGCCTGCTTCTTTACCTAGGCACAGACGTGCCTCTTCTGCTAGGCACGGACGTGCCTAGGGTCTTCCTTTGGCGCAGCTTCTGGCACAGAGGCACGGACGTGCCTAATAGGGAGGCACGGCCGTGCCTACCTCTATAATGCCATTATCTTGACTTTTCTTCAATCTCCAAGCTCCATGGGCTTTGACTTACTTCATGGATCTATAATTCATCCAAATTAGCTCCATTATTCCTGAAAATCATCAAAAACAACAAAACTACCCATAAAAGCATCGGATTATCCAAACTAAAGCAAAATACGCCAAAACGGACTCAAATACTCAACTAAACTAACAAAACTAACAAACCAACCAAATAATATACACAAAACACGACTTATCACCAATTTGTAGAACTTAATGGATTATAAATGACAATTATTTCCCTCATTGTATTCCATATCCGTCCTTGTATTTTGGTTCATTTAAAACATTCTTGCTTTGTCATGAAATTAAAATGAATATTATTAAACCTTAGAAGTTATTAAGAGCAAAAGACCAATTATAATTGAGATGGTCCTTTAACAATTACCATCTATATCAAATGGGTTGTACTCTTGTATTGGAAATTTTAAGGTGTAATTCTATTAGAGATATGAGATATCGGAAAATATATGTGTGATGTATATTTTATATTAATATTATCATGAGAATAATATATTTAATTTTATTAATGTTAAAGATATATGCCTATCGTGACTTATTGTAGTGATTGGTACTTACGAAACACAAATTCTCTAAAAAGGCGGGTGTACGTTAATTTATTGTAAAACGAGTTAAAGTTATGTTAAAAGTAATTAAAGTTACCCTTTATACTGCAAAAGTTATTATTTTTCTATTAATAAATTTTAGGGAAATTCTCAATGGTAACCCCCAACTTTTGCTACGCACCAACGGTAACCTCCCTTTTTTTTCAACTATACAAAATGACCTTAATTAAAATTTTCATCTCACTCATAACCTTATTTCATTAAATATATTAACTATGCTTAGATTTATAATTAAAAAAAAAAGAAAAACTAAAAAAATTAACCCAACCACCAACCTTCCTCCTTCCTTTCTCTTTCCTCCATCCTTGCTCCTCCTCCATAATTTCCGACAACCCCTCCACCACCATAATCCGGCAACCCCTCCCCTCCTTCCTTTCTCTTTCCTTCCTCCTTCCTTTCTTTCCTTTCCCTTTCCCTTTCCCTCTCCCTTTCTTCTTCTTCCCTTTCCATAACTTCAGGCCACAACCTCCCCGGCCTCTTGCCCCACTTGCCTTTCGGCCACCCTACCCAAAAACCCATCCCCTTCCCATCCCTTTCCGATTTCCGGCCACCCCCACCTGCCCAAACCTCATCCCCTGCGCCGACGAAACTAATTCGCCCATCTTCACCCACTTTTAATTTCCCCCTAAAACCACCATCCTTGACACCCAAAAACGAATTCCCTAAAATCGAAACCCTAGATTTCGATTTTAGGGTTTTTTAATTTGGGGTTTTGGCGTGGTGGTTCTGGGGTGGAAATTGGCTAAAATTGGGGCTGCTTGAGGTGCATTTATGGCGGCAAGTTGCTGCGGTTTGAATTGTAGTGGCTGGGCGGTTTTTGGTGCGATTGTGATTGGTGGTTGCCGCTGCATTTGCGGGCTTGTGAATTGGAGATGGTGGGTGAAGTGGTTGTTAGTGGTAGTGTAATGTGACTGAGCGGGCTGCGGCTTGGTGTGTGCGGGCTGTGAGGTAGAGAAGCAGAGCTGGGCTGCGGTGGCGTGGTTGCTGCAGCGATGATGGTGGCTGTGATGTGCGAATTGGTGGCGATGGTGGTTTAGGTTGTTGTAATGTGATGCCGCTGAAGATTCCGGGCTGCTGCTGATTGTTGCAATTGGGGTGTTGATAGGTGGCAGCGAGTTGATAAGGCTGCGCGTGCCGTTGCAATTTGATGTGGTTGGGAAGGTTTGTTCGCTAGGGAAGGGGAGGGTGGTCGGGGAAGGGGGTTGGGCTACGGTGCTCCGGGGGGAAGGGGGAAGGACTTGTCGGTGGCTACGAGCCTACGACTGGGTTATGGTGGGTGGGTTTTTTGGTGGGGGTGGCTGGGCAGGTGGTTGGGTTAATTTTTGTAGTTTTTTTTAAAAAAATATAAATCTAACCATGGTTTAATTTTATGTTAAAACACCATCATTAATATCATCATTAGGAGAAAAAAATAACTAAGGTCATTTTGTATAATCCAAAAAAAGGGGGTTACCGTTAGTGCGTAGCAATTGTTGGGGGTCGCCGTTGAGAATTCCCTAAATTTTATCTTACAAAAAACTTGTAATGTATTAGATTAATCATATTAGTTTTTATAGTATGTAATCACGAATTTATAAGAAATTACACATTATAATTATATTCAAACCAACGATAAATTAAAAGTTACTCTTTAAGTGGTAAAAATTACTATAAAAATAGTTAAGTCATACTCAAATTGACCGTTTTATAATAAAATTAATGTACAATCGTTATACACAAGACTATTCCTTACAAAGGAGTTCTTACCTAAAAATGTATGGTTTGCAATTATGCATTTATGCATGGCTTTTCGCCCATGATAGGGAAAGATCAATAAATTTACACATCTGGTCCGACTAACGTTGGAATTAGTCCAATTGAGACTAAGACATATTTTTTTGATTAGTATCCAGGAAGTTGCAGCGAAACATTGTAAATAATCTTTCTCGAAAGCGCACATCAAACATGCATTATGAGTTTATGATACGAAGTATACAACTTTTTATAAGTTTTGACTATTAAGATTGTGATGTACAAGGTCAAAATTTAAGTCGATTGATAAAACTTTTGTTGCCTCAAATCAATCTACTATCTCTATTGTATTTTGCCTAACCACTTTATTTCACGCCTCTTACCAAATAATGTTTTACGCAATTTCACCCACTCATATTTTATTTTATTGAACCTTTTTTTACATATGGTCATGTGTTATTATTCAATTAATTTATCCAATTATTTTAATACACTACTTAACATTATTGTTAGAGATATGAGAATCATATCGGAAAATATATGTGTGATATATTTTTCATACTAATATAATAATATATTTAGGTTTATATGTTAAAGTTATTATTTAGTGAATATATCTTTGAGATTTATAGTTATAATTGTATATCTTTTAGAAATATTGTTTCCTATCTTATGATCTTAGGTATATATAAATAATCTACCTATTGATGAATAATAACAAACCATTCTATTATCTCTTTCACCCAAATTCGTCAATTATTAATCAAAACCTTGTAGACAAAAGAGTCAAGTCTGGTTAGAAAGC